ACTCAAAGAAGCGCTAATGGCCATGGGAGTGACTAATATATTCTCTGACAAGGCTGATTTGACTGGAATCGCCGAGAAACCTCCACTCAAAGTTTCACGTGCTGCTCATAGAGCCATCATTGAGGTGAGTTCGTTTTCTTCATTTGAAGGAGGAAGAAGCCTCCAGTGCTCTTGCTCTTTATTCAGAACTTTATTTTAGGTATATGAAGAAGGAACAACCGCGGCGGCTGCTACGCTCTTCAAGAGTACACGAAAGAAACTCATTTTGAAAAGACCGCTGAGTTTCCGAGCCGATCATCCGTTTCTGTTCATCCTTACCAAGGATAAAAATCCTTTGTTCATGGGTCAATTTGTGTGAAGAGCTGAATTACTGTGTTCAATGAATGGTTTATTGGACTGCGAGCAATCACTGATAATCATTATGGGCACAATTCCGCTCGGTGGATGCACCAAATGGTGCTCAGCCACTTTGTAACATCCACTTAATTCTTGTACTCGATCGTACCATTTTGTAGCTTTACAAGAGTTCGTCTCACCAAAATGACAAGTGCTAATTAACGTGACCGGCCAAAGGAACTATCAAAAGTGCAAATTGCCCATTCCAAGCCGAAAAGTGCCAACAAAAGGATTTGGGACGTACAAAGTACACCGCCGTGAGGGAATCCCATTGAGGAAGGGAGAGGGCTCTGTGATCGCTGAGGGAAGGGGTCGCAAGCTCAGGGAAGCGCCAACAAAAGGACTGACGGAAGTGCGAAAATGCTCCTCTAGGACGAAAAGCACTGCGTGGGATTCTCGGGTATGTGACAAGAGGATCGTAATTTGCCGCGCTGCTGGGCGTCGCGTGCGACGTCCCGCCCGCAAAGGACGATGGTTTCAGGCAGTAGATGGCGACAACATGCAATTAAGGACCGAAAACAGTAATGAGTGTCTACGATGACGGGGTCTACATGAAGTCCGGTGCTCCATTCGACAGGTTAAAACGAGTTATGAAAACGCCGCGCCCATCGCCGCGCGTGGCGGTGCGGCGAATTACGATCCTCTTTACCGTCTCCCATTCTCTGCTATGTGTTTAGATCACGTCACCAGCTGCAGAGAATGGTCGCTTGGCGTGACAGTGTTCATTTCCGTGAACTCGAAACTTACCTGGACTTCTGAGGAAAACTTCAGTTCAAAAAAAAACTCCCACCAGGACTTCTTGAGAGGCATAATACTAATCGATTAAAATTGAAAGGCTCAGATTGGGAGGAGTATATTACACTTCTGTCACATAGTTCCCTCATATAGCAGTCCCACTTTAGCGAGATCCGTAAACGTTCTCAAACATGTGGCAAGGTACAAATGAACCGCTTTGGTTTGTTTGACTGATGTTTTTAATCTTGCAAGTGATGGCGTAAGGGGGGAATTTTGGCGGTTTGGGGCATAAAAAGCAGCATATGTATTCCTGATTGCCCATCTAAAAGCCATAAGTGATATTCCTCGAACTGCTGAAGATTCTGAGAAAATCAAATACCATTATGGAGCAATAAACCAGGTTTTTACGATGCTGCTCTCCAGTCAGGGTACATCATTGCTGTGTGAAACACCGTATTTTTCGACTTTGAAATGGGTAAAATGTGGAAAATACGGGAAAT